CACACACACACACAGACGTACCTCTGCTAAAGTCTGCTTGCAGACATTCACGATTTCCAGAGCTGTTTTGGTATAAGGACTATCAGGCCCTAAAAAAGTAAGAATGTATACAAAAGTGAAATCACAATTTTAGTCAATATGAAACAGCATTTTCGTAACTAAAACATTAATGTTTCTCACCATTGTACTTGACACTATTGGTGTGAATGAGAGCGACATCAAAAAGAAACACCTCTCGGTTCTGATACTTGTGCTTGGAGATGTTCTACACACAAAAAAGCAAACAAACAGTTAGTTCAGAGATCCTTAAACAAATCACATCTTAACTGCAGTTTCTTGCGTCCACACACAGATTTTCCTGACCTTACGGAGTGTGTCCAGATCCATGGGGTCAATGATGACTTTATAATAATCAGGAACAAATTTCTTGTTAACAGGATGATGGAAGGGCCAGGACTAGAGAAAGAGAGATATTAACTAATTAAGGAAGAGCAATTCACTTCATTTTTGCTAACTGACAGATTAGCTGGTCCTCTCTAGTTTTAGTGTTAAGGCTGTTGAGGAAGTTTTTCAATGTCATAATACATTGATAATTTAATGTAAAAATCAAAATAGCCATACATTTGATATGTGGATTAAATAGGTGTTTACTTGTATAAAGCTTGAAAAAAAGTAATTCACAGGCTCTCTAAAGACCTTTCATAAGATAAGGTGCCCCTTTTTGCATAATGTTCTGGATGACTCTATAAACAGTTAAGGAGAACACTTACATCCCCGCCCACCTTTGTATTTTTTTTATTTATATACATTTTTAATTTAATTTGATTTAATTTATTAACTTATTTGTGTATTATTTTGTTCTAATTTTATCATAGTGCATGATATTTAATTTTACTGCTACAATGTATGTAACTGGTTGGATTTTTGTTAATTGGGGAGCTATTATTGCATAATTTTAGCTTGTGGTGAATGGGTTTATTATCTGTGCACTTGCTATTCCATGCAAACAAAAAAAATCCATTAAAGAAATTAGAGAAAAAAAATTGTTAATATCGTTCAAACTGATTTGCAGTTAATAACACTGGACAGACATTAAATATGAATGATTAAAAGAAGAGGAAATTAGTCCTCTAATACTTAAATATGAGCAAATATAAAACGTATAAGAATAGAACATGAAAATAACATCACTCACGTCAGGTACGGGCATCATCTTCTGTGTGACAATGTTGTCGAGGATGAAGGAGAAAGCGACCTGATCATCATCATCCAGAAGGGGATTAATGGCTTTCTCTAAACGAACCAAACGCTCCTCTTTCTGCAAAGAGAGTAACCAGAATTAGTCCTTAATCTTCCTGCAGGCATGTCTGAGTCTATATCTACATCTGAGTTACATCTACCTCTTTGATTTTCTCATCACACAGATTCAGCATTGCTTGACTGACAAGGGTTAAAGGATGCTTTGCACCTGAAAACACACATGAAAACAGATCATGAGTATGTCTCACCTAAGTAAAGAAATTAAGTTCCTCTATGAGTTGCATATGAAAGTACCATTGTACGTAGCACTGTTTTTGAAGATGAGTTCGACACTCTCTCTGAACTCTTCTCGTGAAGGGTACATGCGCTTGCGAACATTTTCACGCAATGTCTGCAGGTCCATCGGCCGTGTAACGATCCTGTAATAATCCTTAACCACTTTGCCGTTCACAGGAGTGTGAAACGGGTATGTCTGAGAGACAAACACCATATTCACTCATTGTCTCAGAGCATGTGTCCATGTCTAGTAAAGATAAATGAATGCGTCTTACATTAGGAAGGTCCCTCATGTCATTAATGATGCTCTCCAGTACTGAAGAGAGTGTGACCATGGGGTCTGTCCTTCTGCGATGGATGGACTTGAGAGGGCGCTGAGAGAAAGGCAGAGAAGTAAAATAAATGGCGATGGCACACTGAGAAGCTGCCATATGTTGATTACTTATACAGGGTCTATAGCAGGGGTGTCAAACTCAATTCCTTGAGGGCTGGAGCCCTGCAGAGTTTAGAGTCAACCCGAATTAAACACACCTGATCCAACTAATCAAGTCCTTCA